ATTGTATAATATCATACAGTCCATACGTCGGTTAAAGCGTGGACATTGGACACCACCCCTTGCAGCCGTCACTGCTCGACGCCGCCTTGGAAGGGATTGCTCAAGTCGTCGGATTTTTGCTTGGGAATTCTTCGCCATTCCTCCTGCCACGCATTGGCACGTTCTGCAAGTGTCTGAGGACGATAGTACAAGTTATTACATTCAGTGGATGTTGACGTTGTGAATTATCAGACGCCCGTTAGGTAACGTTGGATAAAACCTAACGTGGGTCTGATAATTCCCAACGTCAACCTCAACGAATGTGATGACGAATTTATCTTACCGAATGTTTCAAGCTATAATCAATAGAAATAATCAGAAATACACCAATCATCTTTTATTCAGCGAAACCGGGTGAGCGGTGTATATGGAAATTTGTTCAAGGTCACGTTGACCAATCAAAGATCGGGGTTCTTACATGAGGTAGAATAATGACGTTTAGGGACGCGTCGATCAAGTTCGTCCCATAGATGCTCGATCGGGTTCAGATCAGGCGATTTGGAAGGCCAGGGAATGACACTGACGTTTACATTGGCGAGATAGGCACCTGTTACACGAGCTGTGTGGGGTCGAACGTTGTAGTCTTGAAACAGCTCCCTCTGGTGGTAGGCAAGATCGCAGGATTTGGTGGATGTAGCGATTTGCTGAAAGAATGCCTTGAACCACCACTAGCTCTGATGTACCCGTGTAGGACATGGCTCCCCACACCATGACGCTTTCTCCATCGAATCTGTCCACCTGTCGAATGCAGTTCGGCGCAAAACGTTCGTGTCGACGTCGATAGACACGTTGTGTTCCATCCCGTCGTTGCCGGAGGAAATGCGAATCATCGCTGAACCAAACGCGTCGCCAGTTCCCCAGGTTCCATGCCTGTACCCTGTTGCACCAGGTCGTTGTCGGTGTAGTCGTGTCAGGACAGGTCCAACTTGAGGTCGATCTGCTCGAGTTCCCACTTCTCGCAGACGAGTTCTGATGGTTTGGTCGGAAATTCTTCGAAGACCAGGCAGCTGTTCTGCAGTGTCCGTTACTGTAGCAAATCGATGACGTAGGTGAAACACCCCGATGAAGCGGTCCTGAGCAGGAGTGGTCACTCTTGGTCTTGCACCGCTAGGACAATCCTAGGTAGAATTGAAGCGGGTACATCGATGTCATAATGGAGATATAGTGATGTGGTGGACGTTGAAGTGTCTTGCAACGACAGACTTGGACTGCTTCCAAACGACCAATGGCGATATTTCGGTCAGCAGCATTCCATCGTGGCATGTTTGATCTGCGTTTACGTCGCAAATTTCGTAATGAGATGATGAAGTTGGTTTGGCCTCTTATAGTCGATGTCTCTACTCATGTTTCCGACACATTGCATGTGCATTGCGTGGAAAAAACTTTCTGCATGCAATTTTCATTTTTTAAGACAAACGTTAGAAACATTTTGGATGCGTTTCCACGCAATACACAACAATCACGACCTGATAAACGGGATTCAAACATAGGAATTATCTTAATGATTATTGCTGTCGAAATATAACGAAATGAACTGCTCAAAACGCCAGTGCGTTTCTTTTTCTTGTATAACGTATATTGCAATTATCCCAGCTACACTTAAAGAATTGAGTTATTGAAATAATGAGCAATGACCCAGTATAGCCCGACCATCTGATCCATTAGTGCTTGAAAAAGATAAACAGTATAAATTGTTAAGAGGAGATTGTGATAAGTAATATGTGGTGAGTCCTAATATAATTGCTGGCTCCTTATTTCAAAGGAAAATATATTACTTTTTTAACCCATCCCACCCCCCGCGATTATTGATTGGTTTGCCCCTATGAATCTTGGAATACAAATAAGTCACGTGTTACACCTGCTATTCAATGGCTCACTTTGATACATCTGTGGTACAGTGTATATCGATTTGATCACAGTATAAAGTGATAGCTTCGAGAGAAGACCTGACAGTTTGATCCAGCACAAGCCTAATGATGTTGTCGCCAGTTTGGACGTGTGTTCTTCTGTGTGGTAGGTTATTTCTTGTTCATAATTTATAGAGAGTGTGTGTGTGTGTGTGAGAGAGAGAGAGAGAGAGAGAGAGAGAGAGAGAGAGAGAGAGAGAGAGAGAGAGAGAGAGAGAGAGAGAGAGAGAGAGAGAGAGAGAGAGAGAGAGAGAGAGAGAGAGAGAGAGAGAGAGAGAGAGAGAGAGAGATACAGGGCGTGTGTGTGAAGAATGATGGTGATGATGATGATTTTAAGGGGAGTCACCCATTTTGTTTTGGGAGGTGGGGGTATCTATTTAGTACACATGTACGGGGGGTGTCAGCAATTTTGTACATTTAATATGAAAATATTATGCTTAAACATTATGGAGGGTGTGGGTGGGGGGTGTAATTGATTTTTGTACATGAGATACAGGGGGGTCACTTACTTTGTCCCCCCTAGCCATAAATTATGAATGGTCCCTAAGGTGCAAATGGTCCGGCGATATCTATCCCAAGTTGTCTTTACTATTTGTCAGTGGTTAAATATAGTTTTCGCAGCTTTGTCGTAGTGAAATAATCTGTTTAGCGGACAGACGAGAGTGGTTGTTCTCTGGCGTTGCCGTTTTGTAGCATGTCCAGCAATATTCCGACATTCCAGCATTTCACACCGTTTGAGGTCCACTCAGCTAGAAGGTTCTCTCCGTGAGGATGTCAAAGAGCGCCATGCGAATCTTGATCTGAAGCTGCTTATTGAAGGTTACAATATTCAAAGACAAAAAAGTTTTCAAACTGTTTCATAACCTGCAGGTGGGGGAGAGCACATCTCCAAATTTGAAGCATAAGTTATAAAATTTAATTTACACCTTAATTTAATTTACACCTCATCGACACTTTAATGAGGTGAACAAATGATTTTGCAGTTACTGTCATAATTAACGCTATAATAAGAGTTATGTAAATTGTTCAGATCTCCTTCCGATAGAGATGAGTTCCTATATTTGCGATTTATGTACATTCCCAGAACGATGTACGAAGGGTCAAATGTGGATAAGTATGACGTATATTGTTACCATCTAAAGATACAAAACACTTTAACAATTTCATTTTATCAGAATATGTATATATGTACTCGACTAGGTGAAACCCACCATCACAAATATGGGTCAAGCATGCAAGAATTTTATACAGTGCAAACCGATGATAAACGAAACTATGATAATTAAGCCTGGCCGCCATATTTAATTGACCAACACGAACGTTCTAATGTCCACGTATGATAAATTTTCCTCACTTAATCATGTACGGACCCGTAAAAATCCCGGTTGGAATTGGTCTTCAGCAGGTAGACATGGTCATTGATGCATCGTACCCGAATTGCGTCGACGATACTCATGATGCCAGTCACTGGATATTCTGGTCCAGACTCGATTATTTACAGACCGCCGCCATATAGCTGGAATATTACTGAGTGCGGCGACAACAAACCAACCAACTACCGTCGCTGCTGGCAACCTCTCCTTTAGACTTTGGCAAGGTTGAAGGAAAACCAAGTTCTATGGATAGTCAACTTCTTTATTGTAATAAATGCGACGTTTCTTGATAACGGTTTTAGTATCTACCCCGTCACATTCATTGCAATAAAGAAGTTGACTATCCATAGAGCTTGGTTTTCCTTCATCTTTACAACTTCTAAAATGCTTTTGAAAGAAGTTTGGCCAGCGTGATTCAGTCTTCTAGGTCACCGAGCAGGGTTGTGTCCCTTAAGCACTCCAGGATCCTGTTACCCTTGATTCGAACCCGGATTCGCAATGATGATTGTCCTTTGTCGTCACCACACCTGCGCACGTAGATTTCAAACATTTAAGTGGTAAACATTTAAAGCCATCATACATCAATTCCGCTCATGTTGTTAGTACTTGTTACCATCATTTTTGTTGCAGTTCTTCAGCGTCACAGCGTCTGGTGTTATAGCAATGCAAAGCTGGGATGGCAACTCGGGGACCGGGCAGGGGCCTTTGAGAAGGAGTGGTCAGTAGATGCCGAATACCCTAAATTGACTGATCTGATGACGGTTGGATCCGGTCATCCGTCCTTGAACTATAGGGCTTTCAGTTTTGACGGAACAGATGACCACGTCAAGGTGTTAGTGAATAACAACGACGAGTACAAAACATTCTCTTTATTCCTGCTTGTGTACCCCACTGCAACATCGGGAACTCTCGTCCATTACAGACACACTACAGGGGAACGGATGGGATTAATGAGATCGTCATCAGCATCGAGAGCGGTAGGGTTAAATGTCAAACGATTTATAACAGTAATGATTGGACTTTCACCCATCCCACAGACATAGCTTTGGATGCCTGGCACCGTGTTGTGTTCCAGAGGGATATGGACAATGGGAAGATTCATCTGGACCTTGACGGTAGCTCCAGTACCCACACTGCCGCTCCACAAAACACAGTTGAACATCTTGGCACCCCAGGGGAACTATGGCTGGGGCAGAATATCGACAGTGGTAACTTCTTCACGGGGAAAATGACATGTTTGTTGTTTTATGACAACCTGTTATCGACTGAGGACACACCAAGCGCCTATGGTGAATGCAATGGAATGTTCACATCACCAGGTGGGTTATATATTACCGGTAGAGTTCTCCAGTTGTGTTATTAACCTTTGGTTTGTTTGTATTGTATCAGTAGTACCAAAGGTATCCTTATACTTTTTCTGAGACAGAATTAGATTTTTTATTGTTACGACGAGTACAGATATGAAAATACGTGGGAGACACTGAATACTGACCAGTTCTTGTTTTGTCGAGTACCAGGCAAGGAAATAAGAAGTACCATCTTTTGGGATGACACGCCTGAGGATCGAATTACTAACTTGCCACTCTCCGGCGGTAGCTTTACCCACTAAACCATGGAGACGGCCTGCTAGCAACGGGACATTAAGTTTATCTGTTACCGCTGTGCTTTAATACACAAACACTTTAAAACAACAACACCTACTATATAAATACGTATCATATAATTGTGCTAAGGGAAGTAACCTTTCCCCTTAAACATTAACACAAATTAGGAGACAAGGTATTTTACTGGTGAATCGGGTGGCTGGGTAGCCTAGTGGTGAAAGAGTTCGCTCGTCACGCCCAAGACCCGGGATCGACTCCCCACATGGGTACGATGTGTGAAGTCCATCTCTGGTGTCCCCCGCCGTGATGTTGCTGGCATATTGCTAAAAGCGGCGCAATTCAGTTCATACAATGTTCTACTGGTACTAGGGTAGCATGTCCAATCTAGTCTATTATCTATATAGCGGTGGTGAAGGAATCAAATATAACATGTTAAGACAGCATTTATTGTCTTGCATGCAACATACATACCTGGAGAAAAGTGGCGTGAACATACGTTGGTACAGCTGCATGTTTTTCTGTTTGACCATGTCTTGATTACAAGAAAATACAAAAAGGATACTTTCCATCAACGTTTTAATAATGGATAAGGTACAATACACAAATCATCTGTTTTGGCTCAAAATGATACCTGTTTCAGGTATGGAGCAACATGCAACACGGCGTGTATGTGATGAGACAAACGCGTTTATTAGTAACCTGGAAACGTGGTACAATAAATATCTAGTGCACCCTCCAAGTGCTTGGATAACTGCCATTACCCTAGGTCGCATACCCCCGTCAGTCGTTGCCAAAAAGGAAACCGGGATCGGGTGGTCAGGCTCGCTGACTTGGTTGACACATGTCATCGATTCCCAATTGCGCAGATCGATGTTCATGATGTTGATCACTGGATTGTCTGGTCCAGACTCGATTATTTACAGACCGTCGCCATATAGCTGGAATATTGCTGAGTGCGGCGTAAAACTAAACTCATTCGCTCACTCACTACAAAAGAAACCGTCACCATGTGCATGCTTGGTGCAAAGCTTCTTCTAACTCTGAACCCGTGGTGCACGTGCTTGTATCCGTTGTCCGATAAAGTCCCAAAGGAGATCCGGGGTTTCAGGTCTGGACTCAAGGTAGGCCACAGAAGGTGGCCACTGCAATACTCTGAATGGAAGCTGTCATTGTACGGGAACGTTGTGGCCTAGCGTTGTCATCCATAAAGACAGGACTTATAGCTACTGGTGTAACAATTCATCGATGTTTTGCATCGTCGACTACGCCATACGAGAGCATCGATACAAAACACATTTAGGCAATATATCAGGATATTTATATCGCGAGGGTCCATGATACATCGATGTATCACCACAAGAGACCATATATCCCAATCCTACTGAAATACTACTTAAAGTTGTAAGGAGTATTGCATTGGCAATAGGAAGGGAGTCTCTTTGAAATTCTATTAAATTGTAAAAACAAGTTAAACCTTACAGGAATTTGTTTGTATTTGTTATCTTTGTTACATAAACAAAGGAGTTGGTGTATAAGTGAAAGAGTGTGAACATTTTTCAAACTCTGTGAACTGTAGGTACTTGTCTTCAAGTAATTGAAATATGTTTTAGTTGTTTGACAAATAACACCATTTATTAACAACTATGAACGATGTCTTAGCTGTCTTAGATGTCTTAAGAAAGAGAACAAAGATGAGATAAAATTTAGAAAGCAGACTTAAGAGTTGTTTTCAGTGATTCTGAATTCCGATATAAATTGCATTGAAGTGTTTGTGAAAGCATTGGTGTAGAAACACAACTTCCCAAGGGTATAGATCAAGGTATACTCAATATGTTTGACTGTACTTTCTTAAGCATTAAATGCTGAAATTCTATTAGATCAACAGCTTTTTAAGTGTGTGTGTGTGTGTGTGAAGGTAACACAATTTCTGCTGTATAACAAATAAAGCTTCAGTCATTTTATCTATCATATCTGTTCTGTTTTTAGAAATTGTTATGTATCGGGATACGTATCGTAGCGCCACCACTATATCGTGATGATAATCGTCTCGCAGGTTCCTTGCCAATACTTTCATGATATATCGTCTCACCTAATTAAACTGGTATCGGGATATATCGTCTCGCCTAATTAAACTGGTATCGGGATATATCGTCTCGCCTAATTAAACTGGTATCGGGATATATCGTCTCGCCTAATTAAACTGGTATCGGGATATATATATCGTCTCGCCACTTAGGCCGCGATACACAGCTCTGCTTGTAGCAGCAGGATGATTATCGAAATAAGGGCCAACAACTGGATTTATCAACCTACCTCACACATAACGGGTCATCTCAGACAGTCTTTTCAAAATCGTATCATATGGTTAGACTATATAATCAGAGATGTGTATTGTAACTTCCTGGGATGTGAATTGTAAAGTGGGTTCCCAGACCTCTGCTGTGACTTTGCACTGATCATTTCTAAATCTTGCTATCACTGATCGTAAAATATCCCAATATTGAGGACTTCCAATATATAGTAGCGATAACTGGTTTCGAACCTGCAACCCTTCGCTCTCTATCTTGGCGGTTTTATCCACTAGGCTACGAAGGATCGCTGCAAAGAATGGGGATTGTTTGTCAGTATGAAACGTGTTCCTCACAAGACGGGTAGTGCAGGCAGCGCACGTGCAGGACACGGGTAGCACGTGTATTGCGCGTGCAAGGCAAGGTGTTGGCCGCCAGTCGCATCCCAGCTGACACCGGCTGTTCCATCATTTGCGGGCTGTCCCATCAATGTTGTTATGCTCGGGGCGTATTGATGTAGATCGTTGTATATTATTTTAAAAGATATTTTAAGCAAAAACGGTTGAGAAGTCGGAGAAACCACTCCTACTCGGGTTTAACAACTCGGGTTTACAAGAGACTGTGAACCCTGAGAGTCGGGATGTTCACTTCGGGTCCTCGGGATGGTCCCTCCTCTCTGGGTTCACAATCTCTAGTAAACCCTCGTAGTCGTGGTTGCTCCTATACCTAGAACGTTCTGGATATACTGATCACACGTGGAATTCCCACGTATCGTCACCAAGTCGAGTTTACAGTCATGAGAGAAACATCTCCACACCATGACGGTACCCCTCCGAACTCCAAGCGTTCATCAGTTACATGAAGAAAGAATCGGCTTTCATCAAACCAATGTATTCTCCGCGGGTTGTGGTAAACACAAAGCCAAACGTGCGTGTTGGTGATGATGGCTCAGTGGAGGACGATTGATGACCCTTGTACCCGGCTCACCTAAGGCGATTCCGGACGCCGGGACGGTTCTCGTAAAGACCCGGCGAAATGGTAACCAGTAGTGCTTCAGAACAGTGCTTGTGGCGAATGGTTGGCGTCGAGGGAACCTCAATAGTCTTCACGATCTAACGCCATCCTGGGTCGTCCAGAACGTGGGCGATCCTTTCACTTCACTGGTTTCCCTGTACTAACTGACCAAACGACAGATGCATTGGCCATTGTCATTCATATCCACTTATTGCTTTAAAGGACATACCGGAGTTATGTATGCCAATAATTTGCCATCATGGTCATCTGATAATCTTCTTAGTACCATCGTCCAGAAAAATGACTCAACATTTTAACCCATGCAGATTAAATACTGACACAGGGCACTTGCACAAACTGTACTTGTGAAAATTCAGCATATATTTAGGGGTGCTCAACGTTTTTCCTGGTGTAATGTATGACGTAAGAGGAAGGGCACTGGTGGTAGCTGTGCTGAGTTGCGTCCCTTAGTTATGGAAGGAAACTATGATCGCGATTCGTACTGTTTATATTTTATAGTTAAGCATGTGGGTTTCAATAAAGTGAACAGCGTTAAATATGCACTTCGGGATTTCTTCAAGCCGCCACTATAAGGAGTACTCAGGAACCAAATAGGGATCCAAAACGGTTAGAACGTAATTGAATTACAATAATCTCTTGAAATTATTATATGTTGAATCAGTATTGTGTCATATATGTTGCGTTGTTTTCCACCCCGCGGCTATTTATCAAAGTAGTTGTATGTCAACAACAGACCCGGTAAAGTCAATAGTCGCTTCTTAATAGAAAATGCCGAGTTAACGATTAATATAATTGAAGATGAGATACGTTAGATATCAAACGTTCAATTTATTGACAGATTTCTTATTTCACGTCGGCGGTGGGGTAGCCTAGTGGTTAAAGTGTTCGCTCGTCACGCCGAAGACCCAGGTTCGATTCCCCACATGGGTACAATGTGTGAAGCCCATTTCTGGTGTTCCCCGCCGAGATATTGCTGGAATATTGCTAAAAGCGGCGTAAAACCATACTCACTCACTTATTTCACGCCCTTGTGACATGCTCGTCCATGTATACTCATTACTCAACACAATCAGAAATATGACAACCATATTATTGGTATACACTCGTGAGGGTGGTGTGTAAGTCTCTTTAGCTGCTCTATTTATTTGCTATGTTCTTAAACATAAATTGTTTTAAAGCATAAAAATCGCGAAACACAACAATCATATGAACCGAGTCACATGATCACATTGGAATGCAAGCACACACAGACATTACGAAACAGGGAGTCGCCTCAAAATTGCAGCTTAACAAAAGCGAGTATGCCGCGAGTTACAAATCAACAACGTGAGCCTGCCATGGTCGGGCCATATGCCAGGAAATCCTTTGCAGCAGCTGCACGAGCCCTGCGATGTAGTCGCCAGACAATGCATAGTCTGAGAACCCTGGCATCCTTGCAGATCGCCCAAGGAAAGGGGTTCCGCTTGTGGCGTGACGCCAAGATAACGTACACATCAGGTTACGTCACCTCCGCAACACATTTGTGGCTGCAAACTTCACTACCAGACAGTTGTTCTGAGGTCTGTACTGACCATCAGGAATCTACAGCATAACGCCGGACTGCACGGTCTGCACTGGCCATCAGGAATCTACAGCATAACGCCGGACTGCACGGTCTGCACTGACCATCAGGAATCTACAGCATAACGCCGGACTGCACGGTCTGCATCAGGGATCTACAGCACAACGCCGGGCCATCAGGAATCTACAGCATAACGCCGGACTGC